TCCAAAGGGACGTACACATCATCCCTAGCTCGCTGCAATGGCGGCCTGGGGCTGCGACCGCGAACCCGGCTACAGTCGCCCCGGGCTCGCATCGACAGGTGGATAGCCAGTACGTTGAGAGTGATCACCATCCCAATCGTCAGGAGGGTATCCGTCGGAAAGACGTGCACTCAGAGGACCAGTGCCAGACGGACGGGCAGGCGGAGAAGAAGACGACGCGGAGAAACCGCCATATACTCAACATTGGTGTTCTTCAAGCTGGGGGGCGATTCGCCGCTAGCGAACCTTGGATGTCCTGTCCGATCATGGTCGTGGTTTCGATCGAGAACAGGAGCACGTTGGTGCTCCCAATCGTGCATGTTACGGTCATCATCATACGCCACGCTTGGGGGAAGCCGGTCGTCGTCGCGTCACCAGGGCAGAAGTCTCTTCGAGGCCTCTCGGGATTAGGCGGGGGTGGCGAACGACGGTATCCTGCTGACGGTGCGCGATCACCGAAACGGGGAGGGTCAACGTTCAGAACGTCCGAGCGACATTCCTCATACCGGTCAGAATACAACGTACGCTCCGGTGGACGAAATTCGCCACGTCTGAAAGAGCAAACCTCTCCGTGAGTCCTGAAGCTACACGGTGAAGGACTGTCACGCACCAGGGACAAGGGACGAGCTTTTGAAGTATAACTAAAGCCTGGTGGCGAGGGATCCCTTAGAGGAGAGGCCGTGAAACAATCACATCGTGAGAGTCGACCGCGATCTTCAGGTGGTGAGTCGATCAGAAAGCAGACGTGCATCAGCAGCGGACGGAATAAGGATCAGGTCGAAGCTGCACCAATGTCTAGACCTAGACGCGAAGACGTGAAGGTTGAAGATCTAAACATTGTGCGCGAGACGCAAAGCAGTTTGGGGCAAGTTCGACACATAAACGCCCATAGATCAGATTGTGGATAAGTGGTCAGTTAAGATAAGATAAGATTACTGACTCATTTTTGAGAATTTGCAGGTCTGTATAATTTCTTACCATCACCACCACATTCTGTCAGCGAGTGCGGGTCCTGCTGAATTTGATCTTCGGCTATTCATCGTCCTGGGCTGCCTGATTTTAGAGGCATGTCGCTCTCCCTCGCACCCTCATCTCGCTCGAGATTGAGCTCTGGACAGACTTAAATACCTCTGAATCGTTTGCTTCGAACACAAGTTAGAGGATTGGGCGGTCTTTCGGCAAGTACTTCTCGCCTT